GGATGGGTGTGTCAGAGGCGGTGCGGTTGGCGCAGGACAGAGCAGGGTTTAGGGCTGTTGTGCATAGGGTCGCTATGAGTCGGAAACAACTGGACGGCACATAACAACAACAACAACAACATATCAGAAAGATGGGCAATCTCCTCCTGTGCAATATACAACCTCTGAAAATGCACTTGAGGGTCAGCTATGAATCAGTTCTGATTTGAGCTGTTGCTTGGTGAGCTGTTGCTGAGTTGATACACAAATGGATGTATATACAACATCTTCCAAATTTTAAAAAATTTTAAAATAGCAATACTAATAACGTGAGTCCAAAATAATTCTTTAAAAATATTGCCACAAAAATGTTATTCTCTACCTGTAACTGGAATCTTCCAGTATGAAAATTTCGAGAAATAAAAATACACCGAGGTTTAGTCGTCAGCACTATTTCCTTGAAGTTGGTGGTTTCTTTTAATCTGGAATTTTCCAATAGGTCTCTGAAAAATATTTCATAAAGTGTATTATTAAACAAATAGAATTATTTTATTTTCCAGTATTTATGCATAAGGGCTTAAAATTAAAATATATTGCTGCATATGTTTTTGAAAGCACAAATAAACTTTTATACTTCCTTCCAAAGGTGTAGCTGATTTCACAATGTTTATCTTATTCATATAATATAAATTAAACTATTCCTTATGTCAGATCCATTTTCTGGTTTGAGGAGTAATTTAGAGTCTTTGATGTTCTTTATGGTTGTGAGATAATAAATGTATTTTTCTTTTAATTAGTATCTCCAAAAATTTGCTTTTAATGGCAAAGGATATAAAATAATTTTGGTATTTAATAATCTTTCTGGGGAAAATGTAAGGAATCTGAATAAAATGCAATGGTTTACAATACAAGAATATTTATAATCTTTAATTACTCAGACAAGAAAACAAGCAATTAAGAGAGGGGTGAAAATAATGAAACAGCAAGTAAACTTCAGCTGATTAAAGACAGGAAGATAAATGTAAGGGAATGTTATTGCATATAGTTATCTTTAAATTGAAGAGTTTAAAAATAATACTCATTGCCATTTCTTCTTCACAGTTCTTAGAACATTTATTATAACATTTACAAATTATTTCAAGAAACCATGTTATGTTATTTACTGAAGGATTAATAATTTTCATTTGTTTAATTTCATTGTTGTTGTTGTTGTTATGTGCCATTGAGTTGTTTGCGACTCATAGCGACCCTATGTACAACAGCCCTAAACCCTGCTCTATCCTGTGCCAATCGCATTGCCTCTGACACACCTGTCCAGATTACCCCA